GGGGAGGGCTGCGCTGGGTCCGCGCGAGGAGCGCGTTTGGGTTCGGGCTGCCTTTGAGTCGCGTTGTGCCGCGGTAATAATCCGCTCGGTAGCGGTTGTGTGCCCGAGAGGGATGGCCTAGAGCCGCCGCGGACGGACAAGGGGATTCTGCCGTGTTTCCCTCTGATGCTTCCTCGAGCTTCCCCTCCTGAACAGCCAGGCTGTTCCACGCTCTGTGTCGCCAGCCTTCTCCTGAAGGGAGAGCCCTGTGTGCAGGGGGCGGCGCCTGTCCAGTGCTGACGCTGTGCTCCCCGTTGCAGGGAAGGTGCTGCTGAGGGAGGTGCAGGCGCTCACGCTCCGCAGGGGGCAGTACACCACGGCCCGGCGCACGGCCGCGCTCCCGCAGCTGCAGTGCACAGGAGGCTCTGCCGGGTGTGCCCATGTCCCCGAGGTGGTCCAGTGTTACAACAAAGGCTGGGATGGCTATGATGTACAGGTAACTATTCGCAACTTGTTAAACTGTTAATGAAATCATCCTCCGGACTTGGTTCCTTCTGAAAGGAAAAAGAGTATTGGGCTACAGTGTCAGTTAGGTGACCTTTGACAACTAAAATTTAGCCTAAATGTTTATAGGTTTGGATTTGCCAGAACTACTGTAGATATAAGTTTGAAGTATCCTTGAAGACACTAATGCAAAAGCACTGCACAGCAGACCTCCATTGGCTTTAAATAAAACAGTGCTCGAGGTTATGAAACCTAACTCTTGCAAACCCTAGAGGATGCTCTTGGGTTGGTGCTGCTCTGTGGTTTTTCATTTCTTATTAGATTGGAAAGGGCTATAAATAAATATTTGATATAAGTATTTGCTCTAAATTGCTAGTTTGCTATACATATTTGCTTCACTTCAGCTCTGCCTTTTAAAGACTAAATTCCAGACTTGCATGGCTTCTTCCTGCACGTTGGGGCATGAGTGCTAGTCAGGAAGTGGTCACCACTCTGTTAGCTGTCAGCTAGGCTGCTGTCAGTTGGTAACCAGGAATCAAGGTGGAGGTAGTTGGTAAAACTGGTCCAGCATTATAAATGAACAGTCAGATTTGAATTGGCCGATGGTGCTGCTGTCTTAATCATTAACTTAGAAACCATTACACTTTTATTTCCTCTCCAAAATACGTGTCACACACATGCAGTTGGAGACAATACCTGTGTTCAGATACCCTAAGGAAATGTGGGGCTAAGGAATCTGCATATATTCAACTGCAGAATATGCAATATGATTGTTACGTGTTGCATCTGAATTGCTTAATGATGTCTGTCTCAGTCTCTTTTGACACCAGTGGAATTAGGTGCGCTGGCTTATGTGTTATGTTTTTTATTATTCTGTTATTCAGGTTTATGCATTATGTTTTAGTAACTGCCATCAAGTTTGCAAAGAACAGGCACTGAGTGACTGTTGCCCAGGGGACAGCCTGTTTTTACAAGTATTGCTGTATCTAAAGAAGGGATTTTTGAAAAACTTATTCAGTGAAGAAAACCAAAATCTTCCAGAGTCATGACTCATCAGTGTTCTGAAAGACTGGATTTAATTTATTTTTTTTCAGTTTTCGGATTTTAAAATCATCTTTAGTAACATCAAATTCCTACTCCTTTTCAAAATAAGAGTCCTCAGGGATGTCTTACCCTGTGGCCCTTTTAGGTGATTTGTTAGCAATTACAGCTTTATTTCAGAGCGTATTGGGGGAAGCAGACAGGTAGTTTCACCACTGGAGCAGAAGGTTTTACTTTGTGTTGTGCTTATTTTTCAGTGGCAGTGCAAAGCAGACCTGGACAATGCCTATCGATTTGGGCAAATAGAAGTGAGCTGTGAAGGCTACGACTACCCGGATGATCCTTACATCTTAAGAGGCTCCTGTAGTTTGCTGTTCAGTCTAGAGCTGACCAAGGAAGGTGAAAGGAAAGTGAAGAACTCAGGAAGCTTTGGCTCTAACTATTATCAGCCATGGAAGGATTCTTCTGATTGTGGTTCTGGAGCAATTGTTGTTGTTGTTCTTCTCATTCTTGCATTTGGAGTATACAAGCTCTTCCTCAGTAACCAGCAGTCTCAGCAGAATTCTGGGGACAGTGATGGATTTACAAGGCCTTTCTGGCAGGGTCAGCAGGCCCCTCCTCCTCCTGGCTTCAAGTCCAGCTTCACAGGTAGGGCTCTGAGCAAGCAGGATTGTACTGGGCAGGCAGGACAGACTTAAAACCAGTGACTGGCAGTCAACTGCCAACTTGGCTGCAGAGCCTGTGGTCAGCTGTGCATTCTGTCCTTTCTTCAAAAGAGAAAATCAGAACTTGGTTTTCCACAGGCCTTCAGGGCAGGCTGTGCAGCAAGCTGCCCTTTGCACCTTTGGAAATCCATCTCCCTGTGCTCTGCAAGCATTCTTTTCATACCCTGTGAAATAGGAGGACTATGACAGAAAGAATGATTTTCCTAGGTAATCTAGAAGAGAGAATAGTTTTAAATGCAGCCAGAAGCTATCCCATGCCAAAGCAGTGCTTTGAAACTTTACAGAAGGGTCTTTCAGCCCTGATTTCATTTACAGAGCAGTTGATGGAGAGGAGTATCATGTACCAGTCCTCTGTTTCATAGGTGCTTCAGTGTAGACCCAGTGGTTGAAAGGTTTGGTTCCCAGAGCAGAACCGTCATTAGAGGTGCAGCTTCTGAGTCTCATGTGGGGCCTTTCAGCTGAAGTCAAAAATTATGTAGTACTGACAAGGCTGCTGCTAGGAAAAGTCATGCTTTTCCTTAAAAACTGATGAACTCTGTCACTTAATAAATGATCTTCCTCAGACAGTCATAGTGTCTAAGGAAAATAGACATTACTCATCCGGCACCTAACCAACTCATTTGGCCCCAGGAACATGTGAGCTGCTGCAGCACTGGAATTTAAATTATATTCTCACAAGTTACATAATCCTCTTTTTGTTGTGAGATAAAGAAGAAGTTCTACCATTAATATATAGCGAGGATTAAGTTTGCTTCATAAAAAGTTTATATTTTACAAATGCTTATTGTTTGTTTGAAATCTTGCTCCAGCTGCTTGGCCAACAGAGGGTGCAGTGTAACTCCTTTGGGTACCCATGTGCAGCAGGAACGTTCACATGGACCTGCACCACTAAAGGGATTCTGTTTTGGTATTATTGTTGGCTTTGCAAATTGGCTTCCATGTAATTATTTCAGACTGTCTGTGCTGTGAGTGCATCAGTGACTGTGTGTGGGCGTGCAGTAAGAGCCCTTATTTATTTCTGTCCTGTTCCTTTTCATTTAACTGCACCAATGCATTTTTCATGGCAGGCATCTGAAATCCAGCAAGGGTAGGGCCTTTAGAATACATTTTCTTGGGGATTGCTGAAAATTGAGGCGTTTTAAATACACATTAGGAGCCATATAAGGCTAAACTTGCGGTATTTTGAATAAGCTGTGTCAATGATTTCTCCTTAGATTTCAAACAGAGTAAGGAGGAAAACTTCTTGATGTGAAACAGCTTTAGTGTCTGCCTGGCGTTCTGGCAGCAGAGCAAAAGCACATCTCTGAGTGTGTATGTCCATGTGTTCTAGGAATGTACTAGTCTTTGTCACGTATTGTTGTTAATATTTAATTTGCCTCGTTTTAAATCCTCTTAGCATGCAGAATGTGTCCTGTGAAACTGTTTAGCTAGCCTATCTTAATTAAATTCTGCTTTCTCTCTTAGTGGTTTGACATGATTCCTAATGTTTATTCTAGATATTTCAACAAAAAAATGACTCAGTTTTCTGAGTCAACGTTCAGCCATCGTGCTTCTGAACAAATGAGTTGATTCATCTCTGATTAACATTGTTTTTACAGGAAATGAAGTACTTTGTTGTTGTTCCAAATCAGCATAATTTAATGGGTATATCATCCCAATGAGTGTTTATCTTTCTCCCCATGCATTCAAAATTAAATTCAAAATCAAATCCAATGTAGACTTAAATGATGATTTAATTGGTTATTTCTCTCCTATGACTTAGGAGAGAACCATAGCAGTTTGAAGACAAACCAGGCCCTCTATAATTTTTACATATGTCATCTCTGTCCCAGTTGTCCAGATGGGCATGTTCCAGAGAGACCCTAATGTTATCTTCAGTTCTTGCTTTTTATATTTCTTCATGTGTTAAACCTATGGTTGAGCTCATTCTTGCATCCATTCTTTTCTCTAGACCAGAAAACTATTCCACTTTGGGTTTTCATTTTCTCTTTTTATTTCCAAATGGAAGACATTTAGTTCTGACTCAGAACCTCATGTTATGCAGGTCACACCTAAAAAATCCATGACTCTCCTTCCCCCACCATCTCCTTGATGCTTACACTTTCATCAAGGTATTTGTCACGCTCTGTGACTCATGCATAATAAAATCGTTGCAATGGGATTGCAGTTAGCACGTATTTTGGTAGGAAATGCCAGACTAGGATTACTGGGAACAATACAGAGTGATGTTGGCCGTTACACTGAGCCACTGTTACTCACACTGTGCAGCTCTGCTGAGGGAGATTGGAGGCTTTATGTGTCTGTGGTTTGCTCACTGTGCACTCTTACCTGCTCGATTTCTCTTCCTGCCTCTGCTTCTGGCCTGGTATGTGACCTTCAGCAGATTATTCTTTTTTCATTTCCTTTTTTATTGTTAACCTAACTTGTCTGTTTATAGCTCAGCAGGCAGGGAATTTCCATGCTTTACAAATGTCAGGGCTGTGAGATGGAGTGGAAGGAGCAGCAGATTTTTAATGCAAACTCTTCACAGTAGTGTTAGTTTCTTTTTTTTCCTGCTTTCTGAAATGTGAGGCCTTTCAAGTTAAGCTTGATCAAGAATCTTCTGAAATCAGGAGGAGTTTATCATCTAAATTTCCATTATCTTTAATAGGAAAGGATCTTGTTGGAACAGCTGGCCTGAGAATTAGGCTGTTAACTGATGTTTCCTCTTTTCATTTTGTTTAAGATTACAACAGCTTTGGGACTCATTCCCATCATGGAACGGATTCAGGACCAGGATTTTGGACTGGACTAGGAGCAGGAGGCTTGCTAGGCTACTTGGCAGGCAGTCACAGGTAAAACATACATGCTATCAGATTTTAAGTGTTTAAGCTTTCAGGGGCTATACCATGTTCTACGTTAATGTTGTTTGTAAGCTTCCTTCCTTCACTGGAGAAAATGTGTGACTCCTGCAGGGAACTTTTAGAGCCCAAGCAGTTTTCTCTGTCAAAGAACTGCATGTGTAACAAGTCTATTCCTGTAAGGAATGTGGTAATATAACAGATTAAATATAACCACAAACCTTTTTTTCATATTGAAAGTTTGAGAGTAAAATAATGTGGACAGGAGTGTGTTAAAGCATCTTTGTTGTAAAGTTGCGGAGGGTTTTTTTGATAAGCCTTATATTAACTATGCTAAGAATTCTTAAAAGGCATAATGTGTTAAAGGTTTCATTGACTTGGTATTTCTCAAGTCTTAAATACATGACCCTTGTGTTTGAGCATTGTATCTATGTATTATCTACATATATGTTAGTTCCTTGATTTCCACACACACACCCCATTTCAGTAGCCACATCTTACTGTTTAGAGGTCTAACTGAATTAGGTCCAAGTACATGAACAAGCTTCCTAACTTGGGCTTCTTTTAAAACAGTCTTTGCTTCATGATTGCTTAATTTGGTTTTTTGGTCTTTTGAAATAATGTGCCTCAAAATGCTGCTGTCATGAAGTGTGAGATAGTTGTTTGTAAATTTCAACAGCAGAAAATTCCATATCCATGGAAGCAAGTAATTTAAATGAGAGAGTCAAAGACTGTGATGTGTTAGTCTTACTAATAAAACTTTTTCTAAATACTTGACATCTCTTGCCTAACATGGCTGGGACATAGGTGCTGCCAAAATGCATTTAAGCTTCAGATGTCAAACTGCTTTCTTGTCTGACAGAATCTAATGTCAGAATTTCAGAGGGAAAAATTTCCTTACTTGCAGTTGTTAGAATTGCTTATTCTAAAGAATGAGGTTTCATTTCCTTTTAGAGGTCTACAGATGATGTTATGACAGCCCTGGATATCCCTTGCTCTCAGCATGTTAAATACATTAAATAGGGAGATTTCCAGCTTTGAAACAACTGCCTGCTTACAGTTTTCCCTCGGACATGCAGTCCCATTGCGTGGAATGGTAACTTCTTGATTTTTTGTAAGGTCACTGATGAAGCCTTTCTCCTACTTTGTTTCACATCAGAGCACAGCCACGTTCCCCACATGGCAGTATCTGGACAGATCCCACTGCTCAACCTCCTATGAATGGGTATTCAAGCAATTCCACACAAGGTAGCAGTTCAGGAACAAGAACTGCTTCTGGTAAGACAAAACACCTTTTAATCTCCTGAAGCTCAAGAGACTTTGCCCTATCAAACATATACAGATACTAGCTGAGGTCAGAGCACAGCCACGTTCCCCACATGGCAGTATCTGGACAGATCCCACTGCTCAACCTCCTATGAATGGGTATTCAAGCAATTCCACACAAGGTAGCAGTTCAGGAACAAGAACTGCTTCTGGTAAGACAAAACACCTTTTAATCTCCTGAAGCTCAAGAGACTTTGCCCTATCAAACATATACAGATACTAGCTGAGGTGAGGTTAGTAGGTGGGCATGTAACATTGCCCCTTATTTCTGTTTCCTATGGAAGTAGGGCTTTCCTAAGGAAGTAGGGAAGAAGCATTGTGGTGCATAAAACTCCCCACAGGCCTGCAGTGGGCATGGTACCACCAGTATTGGGTTTGCCTTCAGCAGCAAGGGGTGCTAGTTTAAGGCTTTCCTTTCTACACATGCCCTTCTTTAGCAAGCACGTACAGACATGTTCTCAGTAGAAGGCAGTTTGTCTAATTTGCAAGAATGGAATGTCTTTCAGGTCAGTCAGCCCGAAGTTGCTTGCTGTTCTACTCCATGTGTATGTGTTTACCTTGTCTCCCTTGCCACCTTTAGCATTTTTAGAAGCAGAGAGTTTGGTGGAAAGGCTGTGATGGAGCTAACATGTCTTTTTCTTTGCAGGCTTTGGGGGCACAAAGCGAAGATGAATTCCTTGACGTGATTGCATCGGAGTGATTGAACTAAATAAATCTTCTGTGTGCTTGTACTTCTTTTATTAGTACTAGGCTTTAGAAGTGGGTATGAAGGTATGAAGGAAAGGCAAAGAACTCCTCTTTCTCTGTGGAATTGTGCACTCTGATGGCTACTTAGGGTATCACAGGTGCTGGAACATCTGCTACAGTTTCTCATACTGGATAAACTCATCCAAGTTAGGAAGAATGATGTTGCAGTGCCTGTGTATCTCTCTGTACCTGAGGGATTACGGCAATATGGATTATACCAGATTTTCAAAGCAAGTAGCTTATTAATGTTCTGGGCTTAATTTCATTTGATCCAGAATTTCTGATTTATTTTTTTTCTCTTCCTTGGTGGTCCAGCATCCACCTGATACCTAAGGAGTGCTGCTCTTTGAAGCTACTTTTGTCTGACTTTGCAGAATTCATGTGAACTTTATTGTAAGTGCAGTCAGTTACTCAGATGAGTGTTGGAGTTTTTTCTTAGTGGAAGAGAGCAAAACTATATGTAGAGAGACTAACATTAATATGTTTGTATGGGTGCTGTGTGATTGCTGGAGCCAAAATTTGCAGATTCAAAGATGCTTCATGTTTTAGAGCTCATCCAAGGTGACTGTAGAAACCTAGGGGATTTTGTGTATAAATTATGGGGGAAAATAAATAAGTAACCTGAAAAGAGACAAGATAGTTCTTCTCTAATTTGGACCTTTTTCTGAAAGACTGAGGTAATTTAAATTCAGGTGACTACAGACACTTTGCCTGCACTTAGGCCACAGACTTTCCTTTTAATGGTGGATGTGGGCAATGCTGTGAAAACTTCAGATGTGAACAGTCTGTCCTGCTGGATGACCCATCTAGGACACAGTGAACCAAAGGTGCTCATTGCAGAAGGGAAGGGAGCACTCTTCATCCAAATCTAGTAGAATCTCTAGAACACAGCAGGCCTTGATACTAAGCAAAGAACAGAAATTGAATGTCTAATGGGATGTCAGCTTTCCGTAATGTGCTTTTTAAAAACAAAGTGCTGTCAAAGAGTGGGAAGCAGAGAGGCCTTGCTTTATTCTGGAGGCACAGGGGTGTCTGGGAATTGGTACAAACTATTACAGCAGAAGCAAAATACTCTTTTGCTGAACAAGTTGCACAATAAGATTTAGTAGGTATGGTTAGTATATGAAAGTCACTTCAGCATAACTCATCAAAAAGCATCTATGTCCATTCATGAGTACAGAAATAATTGGCTCATATGATAATATGTAGGTTCCATGTCTGGCTTAGGTAACCAAAAGAAAGAAAACCGTAGAAGACAAAACCAAAAAGAAACAAGCAAACAAACCCAGCAAAAAACCAGAAATCTTTACGAAGTCAACAGAAGCTATGAAAAAGTGCTTGGACTGAAAATGTTATTTTGAAACTATCAAATGAAAATTGGTAACTTGAGAGTAAAATGGTGGTTTGCTTCTCAGAGCTGCCTGAGGGCTGGGGAAAAATGGCTGCATTAACAGCCTGTCAGCTTACAAAGGGAAATGACAAAGACCTTACTGATGACCTGTTGAAAAGTTCTACCTTTTATGGTCAGTGTATGTAAATCTTTTTGGCAAAGTATAGCAAAATAATGTATTTTAAATGTGTAGGTTTTACTTATTTCTAAGTGTACTCAGGTTGAAACTTGTCACAGTCAATATTCTCTTTGCCAGCTAATGACATAACAATGAAACTGGATGTTTGCTAACTGTGTAGTTTGAAGCTGAGGTTTACTCTCAAATTACAATGCATAATGAAATGTTTTAGACAATGTTTTCATTTGTATTTATGTATTTATAGTTTCTGCATGAAATGTGATTTGATAAATAAACCTGATGACTTACCACAGTTTCTGAATCTGTAGGATATTTTTGTCTTATTTTTCCCTTTGACAAAGTAATGAAATAAGTGAGTACAGGGTATTGTGTTTATAGCACATTTTTTGTCTGGAGGCCTGCAGGGATGGCATTGTCTGTTTTTTCAGAGTTGGCTGTGTCCCATCATCCAAGTCCTGGGTGGTGTAATATCCTTTACCCCCAGATGCAGAGTAAACTGTATGTTATTTCTGAAAATCAAACAATACTGGGAATACTTACTTTATTGGTTGGATTTTTAATAACAAAATATTGAACCCTGTAGGGCAATAAAGGCTTTTGTGTAAATCAGGGTGTTGCATCTGAGTCTGCAGAAAAGCTGTTATGGAGGGCTGAAGGTTCTGATATCAGTGTTTCCTTGATCAAGCATAAAGGATGTTGCTGATGCTCCTGAATGAAAAGAGCTTGTGGAATGCAGCTTGGAGCTCATACTCGAGAGAGACCTTGACATCCAGGAAGGTCTTAGTCTTCTGCTCCTGGGCAGGGTTTTGGCACCATCTTCACAGATGCAAGGAGTATGTAAATGCTTAAACTGTTAAATGCTGTTGTAGACAATTGCACTTCTACTTGGCACCTGGCACTGGAACTGCTTATACTCTGACAAGGCTTACATCCTCACACAAAGCTAAAGCTCATTAGAAACTGCTGGTTTTACAGCTGGCTTCCCCTGAAGCATGTGATGAAAGGAAAAAAAAAGATGCACAGAGATAAGCTTTCTCTATGCCCCTCTGTCTTGTGATTCAGCTCCCAGGTCAGATCTTGGCTAGCTCTGCAGACTGTCATGCTATGCACCTTGCTCTTTTCTCTGAGTGCTATGTGTGTGTTAGACTTATCAGCAAGGCAACACGGTATATTGTTTTTAAAAATATAGTTCTTTCATGATCATCACTTTACATCACTAAGTTCCAAAAGGGGAATTAAGCCAGGTGGCCCAATTTACAGCACTAGGAGTTGTTGCATAGAGAAATGGCTGGAATACAGCCATCTAAAAGCTAAAAATGCAGCATTTGCACATAGCCTGTTGTTCACTTATCACCAATTACAAGTGCTGTCCTTTTCCCCCCTTAGTAAAGCAAATTAGTATTAGTTCTTAATATTTTCAGAATAGCTATGAACCAGTGATTGTGGTATAGAAATAGCCCAGCTGCCTACAAACTAGAGTAAGCAAAACCACAAAAATGTTAAAAAATCTCACACTAACGCAAACTGTACCAGAAGACAATGCTGTTGTCTCATGTTGTGTCTAATGAAACAGTGTCAGGTCCCTTGTTCACCTTCCAGAGCTATTGGGGTAGTTCAGAGTTAAGTGCTGTGTGGGAGAGGCTCTTTATGGCTCAGCATATTTTGCTGAAACCTTTCTCTGCAGCCAGTTCTCTTGCTTCCCTGATATTGCATGTCACTGCAGTAACCTTCACCTTCTGACGTCTCTGTTTCTATTGCAGCTATGTTTTGCCAGTGCTAATGACAATAATCATCAGATTCCCTTTAAGTGGCTTGTATATCTTGTCTTCCATCATGGAGTTCCTT